TTCTCTCGCCTCCTCCTGTAGAGGGCACTTTTTTTAGAGGCTTTTTTAAAACAGTTAAGCAGAGTCATCCATTGGGGATGCTGGCAGCAGTTAACCCAGCCTGCCTTTAGCAGTTCTTGCCTTTTTCTTTTTACATTTTTACATTTTCATCATGGCAGACAAGAGCAGAGTTGAAATCCTCTGTGACACAGCTGGAAAAGGTGTAATTTGTTAAGTAATTTTTTATTGTAAGTAATTTGTTTGTGTTTGTGTGTGTGTGTTTGTTTGTTTCGTTTCAATTTGAGAGAGAGTTTGTTTGAGAAGAGAGGAAAGGGGGAGAGGCAGGGAGGGCAGCTTGTATGAGAAGAGAGGGGCAGCCCACAAGCAGAGGCGGGTCTTTTACCCGCCTCTGCTGGTGGGCTGGCACTTTCTTTCTTTTGCCAGGCCCTTCACAGCTGCGTCCAGCCCGTTGGAGCTCGCCGCGCCGGGGGAGGAATGGGCTGGGTGGGCTGGCTGGCTGGGGGGATCATGGCTGCTCAGGTGGCCCCCGCCGCTGCCGCCAGCAGCTTGGGTGTCCCGGCTCTGTCCGAGCTGAAGAAAGCAGAGGATTGTTTGTCGGAGGAGGCAGGGGGGCGAGGTGGTGGAGCACGGCAGCGGTGAGAAGCAGTCGGAAAGTGAAAGTCTGGGGCTTCGGGGCTTCACTGGGGTTTCCGAAAGCCGCCCCCGAAGCCCCGATGCATCCCGCTTTATGGCAGACGTGCCGGGGCTTTGGGGGCGGCTTTCGGAAAGCCACGCCGGGTCATTGGTGCGGCTTTCCAAAAGCACCGCCGAAGGCAGACATAGGGCGACAGACATAGGGCGGCTTTTGCCCGCTTGCCTCACCGGCCATAAACCTCACCGCACGTCACTGATAATCCAATGTTTCTTTCCAACATCTAGAGTAAAAAAGATGCTTTGGAGTCTACTAACTGACTGCAATAGTGATAGCATCCCCAGTAGTTGTTCATCAAATTAGGAGGAGGAAGAGAGAAGGGATAGAATTTTGGCTCCTTTGGAAAACATCCTTCTAGTCAGATACCACAATGTATTTTACCCCTTGTCCCCTCTTTTCTTTCCTTCTCCTTGGATGTACCCAACGCCGAGGATTCTCTACACCAAGCCCAGGTCTATCTTAGATGCCCTCCTTTTATCTCAATCTTGCCACCATACCTGTTTGTAGTATGTCTTAACAAGGCTAAAGACAAATCCTCTGTCCATGACAGATAACAGATCATTGAGAAAAAATGCTAAACTAGTGTTGAGTCTTTCAATCATTTCTGTATCCTGCATCAGAGGCAAAAAGGAAGGGGAAAAAAAGGAAAAGGACAGAATGTTTCAAAACAGAAGTTTCACCATGAGACTCTTATCTAAGCACTTGTCCACTATTTAGAAATTATCTCTCCATCTCGAGGTGTACATTTGGTTTCGTTTGGTTTGGTTTATTGAATTTATATGCCGCCCTTCTCCCAAGGACTCAGGGCGGTGTACAACATTAAAAAAAAACACATATTACAAAAGTTTAAAAGAATTAAATAGAATATCCCAAACAAACCCTCACGATGTTCCGGCTACGAAGCAGTGAAACGCAGCTCAAGGGTATCCCAGAGGTCCCATGAAGTTCTCATAGCTAGACCTGGAACCAACGATGGGATAGGGTGCCCCCTGCAAGCCCCGAGAAGGACAATCATCTCCCCTCAGCTCTCCTCAAACGAGACAGGACACCATCTTGGGCATGCGCACCGAGAGACGAGAACACAGCTGAATTGCTTCCATTACCTTCTGAAAACGGGAGACTATATCACTGGCGATTGTGCTGACCAGCGCGCCTATGTCATCCATGAAGCGCTCTGGAAAACGATTCTTCCTCGAGGCGTCGAGTTTGTCAGCAAAATACAAATGATGCACAATACTTTTTACCTGGAGGAAACATATATTACCACTCGCCATCACTTGCAAGAAAAAGATCAACTATGGGTAGCAGTATGATTTGATACTATTCTGTAAACCAGATTTAATCATTATAACAGTTGTGAGAGGCTTCAGGTTGCCTTCTTTTCGCATGGTCTAACTCTATCTACCATTTGGAGAGTAACTTTCAGAGGCATTTTATCTTCTACACAAGTAGATGTTATCTGGATAATGACTAGCCATTTTCCATGAAAGTTAATCTATGATAGGGATCAGGAAAGAAATCCAGAGGCAATAACAACAACAAAAGATAAGTAGGCTGACTTATTTTCTGATCATTTTTTTCCTCCAATACAGGAAAGGAATAGGCAGGTCTTACCAGAGATCTGAACTGATCTCTTGCGTAAGGGTTGTGACTTTAGGCTGGGACACATGAAGGTTGCTCATCCCTGAAAACTGAACAGTTTTTCTCATTCTCTTACCATAAGTTCAAAGAAGAACCATGCTTGCTGAAGAGCTGCTTCACGGACACTTCCACTGCAGACAACCCACTGTAAAGCCAGTTCTTCATGAAAAAGCTAGCAAGATTAAAATTCATGTTTACTCATCCAGCATTTAATCGTAATTCAGAGATTCCCCAACTCCTGAACTATGGCCTGGTAGTTTGTGGTCTATTGGAAACCAGGCTGCGCAAACAGCAGTCAAGTACACATGCACATGCCCTGTTCCACTTGGGAGAGTGACAGGTGAGCGAGCGTATGCAGGAAGCTCCTTTTTTGCAAGCGGCGTACGTGTGTGCCCGCCACTTGCACAAATAGAGCATTGGGCACATTCACCTGTCGCTCTCGTGGAACTATCCCCTCTCCCCTCCCTTGCCACTGGTCCACAAAACCGGAAGGTTTTGCTGTAATTAGTAAAATAATATCAACATTATAGCAATGGTTAACAGTTCTTTAACAACCTTTTTAAAAGGAAATATTGCATAATGGGAAGTGTAAATCCAATCTATGCCAGGCAGAACTAAAGACAAATTGTAATTTCTGATAAAGTTATGATTCAGTTTCTCCTGAAATGGTCTTATTATTATTGCTAGAAGAGGAAGAAAAATGAAGCTCAGGATGAAAGAGTTCCACTCTTTTCTCCAGTTTTACCGAAGAGAAGGTAAGGAGAAAAAGTTCTGATCTGTTGGAAAACTAAGAAAAATGTATTACTCTTTTTATCCATCTCTTGGAAAAACAAACCGGTGGGCAAAAGACACCCATATAGATTCCCAACTGCTCAGTCCTGGATGCCCTCAAGCAAAAGCAGAATATCAGTAATCTACAATAACTTCTTTGTACCTCCATGAAAGATGGTAAGTGGAAGCCCCCTGTAAGCTATACTGAAGCACACGGAGCATTTGCTCAATCTTTACATTGCTCTCAAGTGTGTGATTGAAAGGAATTAATATTTTTACAAAAAATGAAGTAATTCATCTGGATTAACATCCAAGCTATTTTATATGTGTGGAACTAGAATCAAGCCACTGCCACTCTAGTGGACTCAGCACTCTTCAAATTCAGGACACATTAAACAGTGACTGAACTGTTTATCACTCCTTGCCTTGCACAACAGCATGAAATCATCTTTGCTATATCTACCTTTTTAGTTGGCAATCGCCCTGTTAATGTTTGTAAGAAACTTGGTGTCTCCGTATGGGAAGACATACGATTACAGCTTCGATCTGCAGCCTGCAAAATAAAATGGTGACAGCATTTTAAAATATGCCATGGATGACACCCCCAGTTCGAGACAATGGACATTTTAAAAAATTAACAGAAACATTTTAGATTTCAACCTCTAAAAGGACAAGCAGTACTGAATCTTATGGAGATTTTGAAACTTATTAATAGACAATAAAGCTGTTTGTTTAAAAAAAGGTTTGTAAGGTTCAAACGGAGATTAAACATTATGCAATGTTTTCACTTAAAGACATGAAGTGTTGCAAAAGTATGAAACTAGTTTGTAACAACTTCGCATTTAGCTGACATACAAAAAAACAACATATTCTAACTTCTGTGTCATTCACCCCAGCTTAAAAAATAGTCAGCTATTGCTCAAAATATCAATATTTATTGTATAGAATTACACATAATCCTCGACTTATGGCCACCATTGAGCCCCAAATTTCCGTTGCTTAATGAGACATTTGTTAAGTGAGTTTTGCCCCCATTTTACAATCTTTTTTGCCACAGTTAAGTGAATCACTGCAGTTGTTAAGTTATGTTTGTTAAGTGAATCTTAACTTTGCTTCTTGGAAGGTTACAAAAGGTGATCACATGACCCCAGGACCCTGCAACCTTCGTAAGTATGAATCAGTTGCCAAGCAGCTGAATTTTGATCACATGATCATGGGAATGCTGCAACGGTTATAAATATGAAAAATGGTTGTAAGTCATTTTTTTTCAATGATGTTGAAAAACTTTGAATGGTCACAAAATGAATTATAAGTCGAGGACTACCTGTATACAATCAAATGGGGTTCTATTTACACATTTGCTTTTAACAACCTTTTTTTAAAAAAAAATACTTTTACACAAAATAATTAAACTGATTAAAAGCTGAAAGCATGGTCAATTGAATTTAACTAGGACTTCATTTAAATAATCACACTGTGTTAAGAAGCAAGCAGCTAAGGTTAAAATGATCATGATTCTAACATTTTGTATTTTGCAGTGTATTATTTGACACATTTTTCAACATTCAGTTTTCATCAGGAAAAATAAATCGTTATGAACTGAGATTCACACATAATGTAATAAAAACAAGGTGGTGAATGAGGAAGAAAATGTATTATCAAAATCATAACAGATATAGATGATGATGATGATGATGATGATGATGATGATGATGATGATGATGATACAAAATATAAGATTGGCCTCCTTAAAATAAAAGGAAATTAATGAGACCTATTAATTAGATATGGCTAATGTAAGTCCTAATACAGTATTTCAGTAAGCCAATTTTATATATGATTAACAATGTAATATTTAGAAATGTTACATTTGCATGTAACATATTTCTATCTGGACTATATTACATGCAATGCAATGTTATAAAACAAGTGTACAAATTAATTATAGAGAAGGAAAAAAACCAGTTCTGAACATGCTTGAGAAAAGAAAAAAATTAGGGATGGATGATTTCTCATGCAGGCTGGTGAATACAAGAGAATTCTTCAAAACAGGTAAAAGTATATGAAAGGGATCACAGTGATGACTCGAGGGAGAAAGATTTCTGAACGGTGATATCAACCAAATATATTAAGAGGAAAGTAAGGAAGCTCTAAGGGAGTCACCACCTGTGAAGTCTCTGCATTCGGACTGGGGTTGGATCCCCATGGGGCAGCTTTTGCAGCACCAGTGTTTACCCAAGAATTGGAGCGATCTAAGCCCTGGGCACATAACAGAAAGCAGCAAGGAAAGGAAAGAAATGTTACATGTTACATGCCACATTTGCATTGGAAATTGGAGGAGATTAATTTCTTCAAAGAAACTCAGAAGGTATACAGCACAAACGCATCACCAATTAGTACTGTTAAATACTTTGCTTAGTCCAAACAATTATTTGTATCGACAGAAGAGAATATTTGTAGCTTGGAGTGGATTTGTGGGATCCTTGGTTTTCTTTGAGCTTGCTTGTTTTATTGCAGATATTTAATTATCAAACTAGATAACATCGTCAGCACCAAGGACTCTACAATTATTTGTATTTTCCCCCCAGGTACATGCTAAAATGTCATCAGACCAAATATATTTTGCAGCACGTTATATAGGCATATCTAATAAGTGGCACCTTCTCTTTTTCTGGTTACTTTTAATCTTATTCCAGTTCCTGTTTATTTATGACTTTACTTAAATCATTAGGTGCCATATTTAGTAAGCTTGTAAATATTAATTCATATACAGTAGTCCCAATTCTAAAGAAATCCAGTCAGGCTGCAAAGTCACTGAATATCAGGACATAAATTAACTGGATCGTCCTCTACTGATTTTAGCTAGAATAAAGTTAAACCAAATTTCTCAGGATTTGGATCTCTGAGTATATTTTACCACTTCAAAAACCATTTATTTTACAATACATGTGTCTTATTTTCCATCATTATTACATAGTAGAAAAGATAATTCATATGTATTTCTGGGAATCGGTTTTGTTTCATAGATTTCTATGCTTCTGTATCTTGCTGCAATCATCTATTGGCATATAGGCATACCACAAATATCTGAATTAAAAATTGGTTGTCAAATAATAAAAAACCCAGACCTCTGAAGAAACAATTGTAAACCATTATATATAAACCATAAACACTTGAATTTGCAGGAGTTCATGAACATATAATAAATAAAAATATCAGTCTTCGAAACTAAATCTCACTAAGGAATGTCCTATGATTGATTTTCTATACCATACATGGTTATTAAAACAACTCCCTGAAGGCCATTGATGTGATTTGGCTTTTCATGTTAAACAACTCCCTCTTCCAATTTGGAGAACCTGTAGTTTCTGTGCCATAGTTCACACTCGTTACAAGGATCCCTTGATATGTTAGTCTGGATCTGGAGGAGGATGAGATGGTCTGCTATATATACAGATGTATGTACCATAGACAGTCCTCAACTTACAACCACAACTGAGTCCAAAATTTATGTTAAGTAAGACATTTGCTAAGTGAGTTTTGCTTTATTTTACTACCTTTCTTGCCATAGTTGTTAAGTGAATCACTGCAGCTGATAAGTTAGTAACCCAGTTGTTAAGTGAAACTGGCTTCCTCATTGACTTTGCTTATCAGAAGATCACAAAAGTTGATAACATGATCGTGGAACACAGCAATGGTCATAAATCTGAACCAGTTGCCAAGCATCTGAATTTTGATCACATAATCATGGGGATGCTGCAAAGGTCATGTGAAAAACAGTCATAAGTCACATTTTTCAATGCTGTTATCACTTTGAATGATTACTATACAAAATATTGCAAGACAAGGACTACCTGTAATGCACTTTTGAAATCAATTATTTATCCTAATATCAATTTTAAGTGAGATATAACAACGAGCACATCAAATTTTGGTAAGTAGCATCATTCCATTTTAAAGGGGGAAAAATTAGATTTGCCTTGAAATTCAATGTCTTGAGAGTTTTATGGAATCCTATCAGACAGAAACATTAGCCCTTCCAGTTTATTAAAGAGTGGGTATGCTTCAGAAAGCTTCTATCTATTTTATTGCCAAATTATTCAGGCCAGGCAGCTCATGCAAAACTTATCATCTCCTAGGTAAATTTCATGTGCACATTTGTCCCTCCGGCATTTCACAAAAAAGGTCAAGGTGGTTTAATTAAGCAAGACCATCAAATGAATACTAAAAGACTCCGAGCTCTTTCAGTCCAATGTTTAAATGTTTAATAAGAACAACAGGTAAACTTTTTTTTGGAGGGGGGGGGGTGAAGCTTTTTCCCCTTCCTTTTCATTAATTAAATAAAAGGATTCTTTTCTGTGGTGCTTATGTTCTTGTCTTGCCCTTGGTATTCAAGTAGGCTGCTAATGTAAATACTCAGAAGACTCTTGATTTTGGGTGAATAAGTTTTGGGGTGTAAAAATGCTTTTAAAATGCCTCCTAAAAGCTTTTAAAGTGACATAAAATATTCTTTGCCAGGAAGAAAAATGAAATTACTTATGATAAGTTTATGACAAAAGAATCTGTTCTTTGGTGTCGTTACCCTCGCTGAAAAAGGCATCTGGAAATGCAATCTACTAACAGTGGAAGAATCTAACATGAGTATCTCTAAAACTAATAGGAATCCTATGCTCACAATTTGTCCAATTTGAAGCAAAGAACCCAACAGGATTCAGGATTTGACACTTAATAATTATTAACAGTGGGATGTTATTATTAGCCATCTTACCTTACTTCCAATGATTGATCGTACTTCATCATCGGGTGAGGTTGGAGTCCCTGATATGTCAGGGTTGCTGTTACTAAGGCTCCTGGAACGATTCAAGTTTAGGCTTGCAGGTCTGACAGCTGAACGAGCCATGGTAGCATAGTGCACTGATCCTCCTAAACCACTGGGAGCTAAAGAAATGCACAGCAGGAGTCAGAAACTATTTTGTTTATTAAATTTTTATGCCACCCATCTCCACTACCAGGCGACTCTGGGTGGCTTACAAGTTATAAAACAAATAAAAAATACCATATTTTTCGGAGTATAAGGCGCTCCGAAGTATAAGACGCACCAACCTTTTGGGAGCAAAACAAGAGAAAAATATCTGCCTCCCAGCAATTTGCCTCATGGAGCAAACAGCATGTTTCACTTTCAATTTCTTCCGATCATCAGCTGTTTCAGGCTGCAGGAGTTGCTATAGCCTATTGAAGCCTCGTAATCCCCCGTTTGCTGCAAAGAGGTAAATTGCTGGCTGGTAGAGGCCAAAGGTTGGGGCCGGTGGGTGGGTGGAGCTACATTCAGTGTATAAGATGCACCCAAATTTTCACCCTCTTTTTTTTGGAGGGGGGGGGGAGGAAGGTACGTACTATTCTCTGAAAAATATGGTAGTTAAAAGATTAAAATGACACAAATCATAAACTATTATTAAAAACTGTATTAAAACAGCAGCTAAGATAGCAAAGAGACGGGAGTATACCTAAAGTACTAATGTAACTAGTATCACTTTGAAAGGTAGTCCCAGCTAATTTTGCTCACTGACAGTTACAAATTCCATTCTCTAGGTCAATTCGGAAGAAAAATTCAAGTTTGCCTGGAAGTCATATAGCAGCATTCATTATAGGTAGTCATATGGAGTTATGATCATAATGGCCGGGTCACCACGATTGTGCTCAATTTTACAACATTTTTTGCAGTCATTAAGTGAATTCTGCGGTTGTTAAACAAACACCATCATTGTTAAGCAAGCTTGTTCTCAGTAATAGGTTTTTTTTCTAGAAACCAGAAGCAAACCAATCACTGGCAAAAAAAAAAAACATCGAAAAGAGCAATCACGTGGCCTAGGACACTGCAAGCAGCCATAACTGCTGAGCACTGAAAATGTGATCACACAATTGTGAGAGGGTGACAACGATGTAATTGCTGGAACTTCAAAAACAGGCTGTAAGTAGGAAGTTCATCCTAACTTTGAATGGTTGCTAAGCAAATGGTCATTAAAGCAAGGACTACCTGTATAGATTTCCTTTCCGTAATCATATTATCTGTTTAGTCATGACAGAGGGACCTTGTATATATGACCTTGAATACAACCAATGACAGTCCTTTCTCTATACTCTCTCCATACCCCTGAAAAACTGTGCCTGGAGATAATGGATCCATATGGTGCTATAGAATATGACGTAAGTAGATGCAAAAGAAATTAAAAATTGGCATAATTTGAGGGCAGGGGGCTGTTAGTAATTAACTATTAATTATGCTACATGTTTGATCACCAAGGTAAGATTCAGAAACTAAGATCCTGATATCATGCTTTTTTCCATCTGAATCCAATGCAATTACATTTTAAAAGTGAATTTACCTGGGCATGGAGAATTGGGAGACATATTTGGTAAACGAAAAACATAATAAATATATGAAGTAAGAAGATTATTTCTTCCATGCTGATCTTGGTTTCCTTCAAGGTTTTTGTGAAGTCTGTTTACAATAGAGGCCATGGCTTCAAAAGATGCTTGACCTAGATTGACTAGAAAGAATATAAAGAGTTAGATATCAAGTTGTTTGTTTCTACTGACAAACTGTCTAAAGGAGGGAGGGAGAAAGAATAGTCATCACATTAAAGTAATCTGACAATATCTTAAAATATGTGTTAAGCATGAATATCAATGGAGATGGCAAATGAATTCATTTAGCACTGACATAACTTCATAAGGTCACTGGGCAATGGTGATGACTTGAAGATTACCAGTTCTAAAATTATCACTTATCTTTAGTTATGACTTGCAGTTGTCATGATAGCCAAAATAACTTTCATCACAGAAAGTGTGTTCTTTTATAGTTAATTCCAAAATCTTATAATAAAAGTCAATATTCAAAATTTATCTAGATTCTTAATCCATTTATATTTTTCTTAGATTGAGATCTTATTTAGCACTTATTTATTTATCTATTTATTTATTTATCAAATTTGTTTGCTCCTCATCTTGCTGCTTATTTCAAATTCTTTTAAGTTCTTAAGCTGGTAGTTCATTTTTGTTTTGTTCAGAGGTGAGGGCAAACCTACCAAATGAAAGCTTTTCAGACTTGCTCTGAAGAGCTCTAATAGCTTTAAGATATTAGAGATAATTTCTGAAGTGACTAAAATGAAAATACTTGTAATTCTAAATGTAGCTTATAGCTTCTAAATTATAGTGGAATAATTATAACAAAGAGAATTTATATTACAGCAAAGTGAATTCATATAATCTTTTCACTTAAAAACATAAGCTTAAATGAAATACCTATTTGGCCTGCAATAATAGGTGGTCTTACAACCAAAAGAATTAATTTGTCAAGCAGAAGATGGAGAAACCGCACCACAGGCTCCAACTGAGATGAGTTCAAAGCTAAAATGCTGCTCTTTAATTCGTTTTCCAAGTTGTTCTCCATAATTCTCATGTCACCTATCCGTACAGGGAACATATGTTCATCCAGAGCATGAACAAGGGCAAAGAATTTGTCAAGATAAGGGTCCTAAATAAACAAATAATAATAATAATAATAAATTTTAATTTTTAGCTATTCAAACTAATGCAATCAAGACCAGAATTGCAAGAAGATTGCACCAATTATAAACAATAGCATAATATAGTGACCAAAATGGAACATCTCTAAAAATTATCAGATACTAGTAATGAAAAAATTGGTTGAGACATAGATTTGAAAAAGTAATCAAGAATGGCATTTCTGAATATAAACTGATAAACTCTTGGCTTATAACATGCCAGTGTCTAAAAAGAGAAAAGTATGGCTGATGTGGCAAGACCAGGGGAGAAAAATAGAAAACAAGAAATTGGAGAATATTGCAAAGTATCAATAGCTGAGAATCAAAACTGAAAGATTTTGGTATAAATTGGTTGTGATGGTCCTAATTTCCATCCGACACTTACAAAAAGCCACACTGCTTGGATCCCTCTTCCTGGGGGGGGGGGGGAGGTTGGCACCAGGCACCCCCACAGCAGGACTTTTGGAAAAAAGCAACCCTCCTCAACGGTTTCTTTGCTGGGAAATAAAGCTCCTCTGCAAATTCCCTCTACTCCTATGCAGTCAATTGCATGGAGGCTTAGCATGCTTGGATTTTGGCAGAGCGCCAGAGTGGAGAGGCAGTAAGGCGTGTGGGCTGCTTCAGGCAGAAAAAGGAGGCACAGAGAAGGCCAGGCATGAGTGTCTTTCTGCTTTGGCACTGAAACGCCATCTTGTTGAAACATAGCAGAAAGCATGGACTTTCCAGGGAAGCTGGCATGGAAGATGAAAATAGCATCCACGTGATTGTTAAGCACTTGACAACTGTTCATAAGTATGAATGGGTTGTCAAGTCCCCAGGCTGCAATCACATGATGGGCAGGGATACGACAATTTACTCTTTCCATGCCATCAACATTTCAAACAGATATTAAGTGACTGGTCATAAGTCAAGGATTACCTCTACATTCCATTAAGAAATTTTGTTGTAACATTAGAGCAACTTTATTTACTGTTACTTTCTCTGTGTTAGAGGGATCCCTCTTAATACATACCTGTGTATGAATGGTTGACACAGCAATTATTTCTACATTAAAAACTCCTTTATGGTTGTCGACCCACTTCATTCCAGGCAAAGGCACCTGACAAAAAGCAAAACACAATAAAGTGTAGAGATAACCAGGCTGAGACCCAGGGAGGGGTCAAACACATCATTGGTCTCAAATCCCTTCGCTCCCACAAGTGATTTTGAATTCCACTGACTCTTATCTACCGCCAATTTGCTTTGAACGTTAGTAGAGTAGGTCAGATTCTTATAGAGAGCATAAGCTTGCAATAAACCCATATATTCATTTGAACTGCCTGGTCTTCTGATTTTTCCATACTCGACATATAATCAGTTATGACTTTCATTATGGTGAAAGAATAGTTAGTAAAAACAGACATTTCAATCAACAAATGTAGTTAAAATGTTTCTAAAATTTACTTTCAAAATAGACGTTCTTAATATTTGGGGTATTTGTTGCTTAACCCACTTTACTGAGTCACACCCACTATAGGAAGTTGCTAACCTCTGGAGAGAGTACAGAATAAGCTTGTGGTGGCTTCTCCAAAGAAACGGGGAGGCAGAACTGGCCTGTTTTTAATCGTCCATTTTGTAGCATCGGTATCCACTTGAATGGGAAAAAAGAACCAAACCATCATTAGCACCTATCAAATACATTGGAAGTCTTTGCTTATTCACTTACCTACACAATACAAAAGTTACTAACCCCCCCCTCACATTTTGCAAATATTTAAGTATATCTTTTCATGCCATCTTTATGTAGAGCAACAATTTGTTTTTTCAAATCCTCAGAGAGTTCATAGCCATGAGGTGCCATGTTGAACTTCCAGTAACCAGTATGAGAGAGTAAGAATGATAACACCAAATTCAAAACACCTGCTCCCCCTTCACACCTGAAACCTTGTGCACTAACGAATCACATGACACCAGGGAGGGAAAATGGCTACTTGGGCCCTACTTGGACATTATCACTTAGGGGTGAACTCACTTTTTTTGCCAGCAGTTTAGACATTAATGGCTAATCTGTTGCGTTACTTTGAGGGGACAGCACATTTACACTGTTATACAAGCTGCATACTCACTACTTTACATTGTAGCCAAGTGTCATTTCTTCAGTGCTGTCACTTGAAAAGATATACTTAAATATTTACAAAATGTGAGGGGGGGGGAAATCACTTACTGTAGTTTAATTTTTACAGCTACCTATCTCATGTCCATCACTCTGGGTCGCGCAAGTTAAAATAAACCAAACAAAGCCATGTCAAAGAATTCAAACAATTAACCAGAAATGTATCAAAACCGACTTAAGCGTTATACAAAATTAACATGTACAGAAATAATATCAAGCAAAATGATTTCTGCCACGCTGAAAGTCAGAATGAAGGCAGGAAGGAATGGAAGACATTTTGTGGCAGTTGTTTACCGTATAGCCAACAGGAGTCTCAAGTGGGGTGTTTTGTTTCTGTTGGCAACTGACATGGTAAAAAGTGAAAAGCAAATGATGGTGGTCCGTTAGAGTAGCAGGAAGCTTGATTTTGATTTCTTCATGGAAATCAGGAGATCTGTTTTGAGGTAAATAGAGATTTTTTCTGTAAACAAAATGCTTAAGTATGATTGGTTTATAAAGCATATAACATTTTTTATTTTAAAAAAAGCAGCCCTATATCCTCTTTGGAAGAGAGCTGCAGCAGACAAATGTCTATGGAGATTCTCAGTCATCCTTTGGGTCATGGTTGCCCCAAAGGTTCTTTTTCGAAAGGCAACTGGACTTTGTTTTTCCTTGAAGACATTTTGCTTCCCAACCAAGAAGCTTCTTCCATTCTGACTGAACAGAACTGAAGAAACTTCTTGGATGAGAAGCAAAACGTCTTCAAGGAAAAGCAAAGTCCAGCTGCCTTTCGAAAAAGAACCTTTGAGACTGCAGCAGACAAATTGCCAACAATTCCAAAGTCATGCTGGCAAGAGATCATAAAGTTACACGAGGCATTCTGCAATCCTCCAATCACCAGTGATATCCTCTCACTGCAGGCAGTTTTAGAGATTATTTACAACAGCTTCCGAGCCAAAGCTCTTCCTGGTAGATCATATGGCCTCTTTGGGATTCTTTCCAAACAAAAACTTTCCCGTGAAACAAACCTAATCTTGGCAGTTCTCCCTCTCTGAGGATGAACTGCTCTCTCTGACCTAGGGGGGAAATCCAGAAAATCTTGTGGTTCCTGGAAGACCATTTCAAAGAGCTACGGATTGTATTTTTAATTGCTTAGGCTCTTTCCCCCAGTTTTCAATTATTGTATTGCATTTAGTTAAAGAAAAACGTTTCAGATAAAATGTCAAAAAAAAAATTTCTGGGATAATTTTCTATTTTAAGATTTTATTTTTTTTCTATAGGATGATACATTTCCTCTACATTCATCTACATTTCTGTTTAGTTAGTTAACACTCCCTATCTCAGAAGATACTATCAGGCTTTTAGATGTACTCAATACTACAAGATAGGTTCACTCCTAGATTATTCTCCAGCTCTTGCTCACATAAATAAATATTTGATTGATTTGTTCTACAAATAAATGTTCTCCTTTCTTCAGCCTCGTAATCATGTGCAAAGGGACAAAAAGGCTTCTATTCCTTTTCATACGATATCACATATGCAGAAGATGTGACCTCTCTGGGTTCATAAACCATAATTTCAGCAATTCAGACAATCATGATTATGGGATTATGAAAGGCAAAAGGGTATGAACAAGATGCTAGGGATCAGATAGATGTAGATAGTCCTCAAATTACAACCATTTGTTCAGCAACTATTCAAAGTTACAGGGTAGCTCTGCTTGGTCCTCAAAACTACAACCATTGCATCATCCCCATGGTCATGTGATCAAAATTAGGGCTTTTGGTAGTGAGCTGCCTCTCCAGGGGCATCTCAGTTGCCTCCATCTGCCTAGCTCTTCCACATCTCTGCTCTTTTGGTCACCCTGTACTCTGTTGACTTTGCCAGCCTACACTTGCTGGTCCTCCATGCCCTGCTATCCTCGCTGCCTCCAACTGACTTTCATTATCTTTTTCAGTCACTTTGGATGAGGTGTGCCTTGACTGGCCTTTTGCAAGACAGCTGCTGGCTATGCTACACCTTCTTCCCTTATCCGAATCCCACGTGGCCTTATCACATGTGGCCTTCTCAACAGGTTTTGGTAGGCAAGTGCACATAAGAAGACTCTAGCAGCATCAATGCCAAAGATGTAGCTGAGCCCTTCTTTCATACCGGTACATCTAGGAGCTTTTTCCGTGCCTGTGCCGTGCATTGTCAAACACAATTTGGATATGAGATGGGCACAACTACTGGAAGGAAGCCTGGAGCAGCCAGCAGCTGTTTTTTTTTAGTATTTAGTATTTTATTGGAATTTATAGGCCGCCCTTTTCCCTGAGGGGACTCAGGGCGGCTTACAATCAAAAAGGGGGGGGGTCTTTGTTTTGCAAAGACCAGGCTAAGCGTGCCTTATCAATATCCGGAGGAAGATCAGATAAGGATAGCAAGATTGGCAAAGAGAAAGGGCCACAGAACAGAAGGTGGCAAGGCCAGTAAAGATGGCAGAATGCAAGGCAGCCAAAATGGCACAGATCTGGGGGAAATAGGAGGGTGGAGGAATTGAAGAGGAGGTAGTCCCTTACCTTACCAAGATTTAGGGTTGGGAGGAAACAATTCAGGAATAGCTTGGGATGGGACCTTAGCTAATGACCAGTGGGATATGGCTAACAATGACAATCGGGATTACTGGGATTGCAGTCATTAAGTGAGGTAGTCTCGTGGCATCAGGCTTTACAACTGCTTCCCTTAGTGACAGAAATTCCAGTCCTAATTGCCATTGTAACGCAAGGACTATTTGAATTTGCATGGTCATGGCTAGACAACTGCAGAATCTCTATTTCATTCTAATCAAAAGTATGAAATTCTTGTTATCCCGAGATCATCTTTGTAACATATGAGTGTAAGATGTTTTGTTTCTGATTTCACAATATTATATAGTGTCGAGTAAAATAAAAGGTTGCTTTTCAGAAAGTTTCTGCTTTTTACCTGTTATGGTAAACAACAGCTGTATAAGCTTCTTTTGAAAATTCAGCACAGCTAGATTTTCCAAAGATTACCTATAAAAATAAATGAACAAATGTATTTTCAAAACAATATTCTTTATTCTTCAGAACTGGAAATTTCACTAAGTCAAAAATGAATATCAAGATACCTATTTATGTGGCATATATTTATAACCTTGATAAATATGATTTAGTTTAAATACTGACTTGTTAAAAATAAAAATATTTGACTGCAGAAATAGTTATTAATATTTCAAAAGAAAATAGATTTTTTAATATCTGCTGCATATTTCGTGGTGTGTGCTGTGTGCAAAGGTATGTAATTATTATTCATTTAATCACCAAGTGAGTCAGTGACTTACAAGGGGTTCAGATGCCATAAATAGCAAAACCAAAATCAGATAAAGCTTGGATCACAAACATTTCAGCAAGTTAACCCTGTTAAATTACAAGCAGAACTGAGCAGATGTTAAAATAATATGAAGGGTTAAAAATAAAACAAAGTTAAGAAACAAATTCTCAAATTCTTTTTGAGCCATTTGCTGGCTCAAAAAGTCTGAGAAACCAGTGGTCCAGCCTGATTCTGTCCCAGCAGGAGTGCAGCCTGTATAGCACAACATTTTGATGTGCATCTAATGTACAATCAAAATGGAACACACACACAAACACACACACACACACACACACACACACCATACCGGCATTGCATTGCTTGGATCCTCTCCAAACATAAACTGCACTTTTACAGTAATATTCCGAGCAGATCCTTGGCGATTGGCAAAGTTAAGGCTTTGTGGATAAACATATAGAAGATTTCTACAAAAAAGAGAGAAAGGTACAAAAATTACATAGTGACTAGGTTATCTGAGTTATCTGTGGCTGATGAATTATAAAACAATGCATCAAATAATAGTAAATGGAAACTACTAAGCCAGAAATAAGAAAAAGCTGCAGGGATAAATAAAAGTTAGCTGACATATAAGCCTGTAATGTTAACTGATTAGAACCCCATGAAATCAACGGGGTATATTAGGGACAACTTAATTCTTATTGATTTCAATGTGAACTAAGCATAGTTAACTTTGATTTATTCTTTGGTTCTGTTTCCAGGTATCTGCTAAATGGGGAGAGAAGGATAAAAATTGACCGCTTTTGATAAAAGCTGGAAGTGATAGAATTACACCTAGAGCCTAGGTGGCGCAGTGGTTAAATGCAGCACTGCAGGCTACTGCTAGATCAGCAGGTCAGCGGTTCAAATCTCACCGGCTCAGGGTTGACTCAGCCTTCCATCCTTCCGAGGTGGGTAAAATGAGGACCCAGATTGTTGGGGGCAATATGCTGACTCTCTGTAAACCGCTTAGAGAGGCCTGAAAGGCCTATGAAGCGGTATATAAGTCTAACTGCTATTGCTATTGCTATTGCTACACTCATTTTATGAACCTGTGATTCCTTAAATTAACACTCAAATTTAAATCTACAACAAAAATGACACAGCGCTCTCCTTATTTCCATTATAAACATCTATTTATTATAATAATATTTTCTCCATAGTTAAGCTTTTGATTCATGCCTTTTCTGTGAATTATTTTATTCCACAATACGTACAGTTATACAAATGAACCATCCATAAACATAGTGGCTACTTCATATCAAAACAGAGTAAATTTGCTCTTCCTAAATTAGGCTGGAAGTTTAGTAATCTTTATATTCAATATTCATGCATTGGCTTAAAAAGCTACACAGATAGAATGTTACAGTGAATATTCGGATTTCTGGGAGGGAATGGTATGGAGCCCATTGGAAATCTCCTAGAATTTCAAATCAGATGGCAAAATTTATACTTTAAAAAAACCTCCTTGTGAAGTTTTCATCTTTCTTGAAAAAATTGCCAATTCTGTTGTTTGAAGTACACATTTCTCATATTACTAACAAAAGCCGATCTCAGTGTTTTTTCAAATGTGCTAGATAGTTTTATTAACACTCATTTGCTGAATAATAGATGAGCTGGGACAGTCAAAATAATAAAGCAACAATTATATCCATATTTGAAGCAAAAATAGGGTTTGAAAACCCTAATTATATATCCCAAAGATGTGGGTCACTGCTCCTGTCCTTCATGACGACCATCTTATATGCTTAGGTTAGACCATGGGTCAGCAACCCGCAGCTCTGGAGCCACATGTGGCTCTTTCATCACTCTGCTGCAGCTCCCTATCACCACCACAATTTTGAGAGGCGATTCTGGTTAAGGGGAGAAAAAGCACAGCGTGCCAGGATGAGACTCTTTGGCAAGAGGTTCGTTTTCTGGTTGGCTCCATACTTGATTGGGCTTTTGGTTAGGACAGGAGGAGACTCTACGGTGGGGGAACTGGACTTCTGGTCAGCTGCAGAAGTGAATGGCGGGCTTCCGGTTAGGACCTTTGTGGCACTTTGAGTGTTTAAGGTTGCTGATCCCTGTACACTTTTTACAAGGGTAAAAAGAAAGACCTCTGTTGTACATCTGGAACCACATGTGTGACAATAAATGAGTGGACATGGCATGGTCTGTATCAGTTATTCCAAATTGCTCAAAGCTTTCAAAGTTAAAATAGCACAGCTGGCATAATATGTGTGCCATGTAAACTGACAGCCACGCTCAAGTTGCCAAGTTCTACATCAATTGAATGTTCCAAGTCATCTTTAAAGGTAAGCCTTATTTACACTTAGCATAACATTTGCTATCAGGAAAAGTTCATCAGATGGGCTCAAAGAGCCTAAACAGGACACAGGTTACATTCATTCAGGTTTAATTATCAACTACCTCAACTTGATATATTTTTTTAGGACTGAACATGCTATGTGTATTTATAGGCATACTAGAACTCTCCCAGAGAAAGACAAATAGCAAAGGGAGACATTTCTTTTCTAAGCAGAAAGAACATGAAAATTATTCTAGTATTGGTCTTTATGATTTCTCTAGTAATTTCAGGTAGACTAGACGATCACTTGGAATCAGCAATTGCTGAGCCTAAGTCAAGATTTGCTATGTCTGATGATGTGCATTTGCTGGCCACTGGACTACTCCAGCTTGGGCGTGGCCTTCAGGACTTTGTGATCAAAACCAAAACCCAAATGGATGACATCTTTCAAAGGCTTAACATTTTTGACCGATCTTTTTCTGATATCTTGCAACAAACCAATGAAATGAAAGAAGAAGAGCAGCAGTTAAAAAAAGCCACAACTAAATTGCAATCAACTGAAGAAGAGATGAGAAATGTATCTTTGCAGCTTAATTCCAAAATAGACGTCCTTGCCATCGAGAAGATTCAACTGAAGAATAAAGTAGGGAAACTAGAAGAAAAAATAACTGAACTTGTACAGACCCAGCTTGATATCCATGAGCCAAGAGAAATTGCCTCACTTAAAGTAAGTAGAAATGAAACATACTGAGTGTTGCCAAAGTAAATTGTATTTTGTGCAATGATAATTCAAAAAGATTTAGTCATTTCTGTTGCTGCTGGACTAATGTGCTGCATTTTAAAGAATAGCAATAGCAATAGCAGTTAGACTTATATACCGCTTCATAGGGCTTTCAGCCCTCTCTAAGCGGTTTACAGAGTCAGCATATTGCCCCCAACAACCATCCGGGTCCTCATTTTACCCACCTCGGAAGGATGGAAGGCTGAGTCAACCCTGAGCCGGTGAGATTTGAACAGCCGAACTGCTGAACTGCAGTCAGCTGAAGTAGCCTGCAGTGCTGCATTTAACATTGCGCCACCTCGGCTTTTTCCTTAATGCTGCTTTATTGTGCTTTGAATGCTACCCATAGCCATTAAAGGAATGTGTAGCATGTAAAAAGTCTTTAAAATAATAATCTTCAAAGTAATGACTGTTTCTTGAAATAAATTTGCTCTGATGGTTTTCCTTTTTAACATATGTACAAGTTATTACTTTTATTTTGAGAGCTTGGCTTAACTGTGAAGATTTAGACTAAAACAAGTAATTAACAAATGATAATTTTATGTCAAAAAGAAAATGAAGTTAGCAAACTGCCTTTTCTTTCACCCCATAATGTTTATAGTTATATGCTTTTTCAATCATTCATTTGTATGGTTCATAAGGAAGAAATTGGCATTCCTTCACTTTTACAAATTCAATTCAAATTCAAATACAAACCTACAGCTCTATTCCAGGCATAAAAATTGCATCTTAAAATTGTTAATCTGATTTTATATACTGAAGTTGGTTTGAAAGATCATTTTAAAAATAAGAATATAACATTTGCTTACCTCTACAGCAAGCATTAAGAATACATTTCTGAGATACAGCGTAATTAAGGTACATCTACTGATATTTTAGCCATCAGCTGAAATGGACTAGAAGTGTACAGTTTCAATTACCAAATCATACTGTTTACTGCTCTGAAATGTGAAAAAGCTGCCGAAAACTGAACATATAAATATCTAAAAACAATGCTTTTATTGTCAGGAAAGATATATCAAAGATAGCACTTGGGTACAATGCAGTCGACAATTGAATAACATCTTCTGGACTTTATGGACAACTTTTTAATATGATTATCAAATTCAGATACTAACCATTGAAACAGAGGAAGAGGCGGCTGATGGGTTTTGTGATAAAGTTCAACCTAAACAATAGAATATTTAAGCAACAGGCTGGAGACTTGAATGCCGAAGTTGGAAATACTGAAGAGAAAAATATAATTGAACTGAATGGCCTAGGAAAGAGAAATGAAGCAGGAGACCAATGTACCTATTTCTGGCAATCCAATGAGTTCTTCATCATCAGAGTCTTCAATCAAAATGATCTCTATGTAAGAAGATGGAACAGCTCAATTATAATGACATGATTAAGGCTGATTGTGGAACAGATCACAAACTGCTCATGTCCAAGTCAAATTAAAATGGAACAAATAAGCCAATCCATTTCCATGATATAATCTTCAGCACCATTAGCAAGGACAACATGAGGAACTGCTTTGAAGTCCTGAACCTCATTGAGAAAGAACCAGAAGAATAAGGAATCCAATCAAAATAATTTTTTAAGGATGAATTTGAAAAGAGATTGCCAAGGCCGAGAATCAGAAGAAAGCAAACTGGATGTCAGAAGAAATGATGGAAACTGGCAAGAACATAAAGGAAGATGGGCATAAATAAACAAAAATCTTCCAAAAGATCTCTAAACTCAGAAGGAGGTTTCTGCCTCAAATTGGATGCTAAGATTAGAAAGAAGTCAGTCAAAAGGAAACTAAGCTGAATGTGCACACTATCACACAATATATATTTACGTGCTTCACAATGCTTAGAATTATTCACTGCAGATTGCAGGCCAACATGGAATAGAAGATGATCAGGTTCAAAGTATCATGTCTTGGAACATTAGGATTCTTGAGAAGACTACAATACTAGGAAAGGGGAAGGAAAGAGACAAGAATGACAGCAATAAAATAGACTTGATTACAGAGATAATGGATAGTGTTATTTGAAGGCTTGAAAGGCCAGATGGGGACTAATGATTCTGAAGAGAGTGATCACTAAATGACAGCAAAATGATGACACATAATCTATCAATACAACACATACTATCCTCATTTTTCATCCATTAACTTCAGAAGACTGCATTTTAGGGAAAGCTTGCTATGCTAGCCTATGCTAATTTCTTAAAGTTGATGCCTTCCCTATATATTTGACAATGATTATTTTCAACATGTGTTGAGATGACTTAAAGACATACTGGCCAAGATATGATAGAAATTACATACACTACTGCAAAAAGTAATATGGAGACATTTTATGCTTCAGATTATGATCCTTTAG